ACGACCTCAAACAGTCACACTCCAAACTCCACTATGGCCAAGACCAAAGAGCTGTCAAAGGACACCAGAAACAAAATTGTAGACCTGCACCAGGCTGGGAAGACTGAATCTGCAATAGGTAAGCAGCTTGGTTTGAAGAAATCAACTGTGGGAGCAATTATTAGGAAATGGAAGACATACAAGACCACTGATAATCTCCCTCGATCTGGGGCTCCACGCAAGATCTCACCCTATGGGGTCAAAATGATCACAGGAACGGTGAGCAAAAATCCCAGAACCACACGGGGGGACCTAGTGAATGACCTGCAGAGAGCTGGGACCAAAGTAACAAAGCCTACCATCAGTAACACACTACGCCGCCAGGGACTCAAATCCTGCAGTGCTAGACGTGTCCCCCTGCTTAAGCCAGTACATGTCCAGGGCCGTCTGAAGTTTGCTAGAGTGCATTTGGATGATCCAGAAGAGGATTGGGAGAATGTCATATGGTCAGATGAAACCAAAATAGAACTTTTTGGTAAAAACTCAACTCGTCGTGTTTGGAGGACAAAGAATGCTGAGTTGCATCCAAAGAACACCATACCTACTGTGAAGCATGGGGGTGGAAACATCATGCTTTGGGGCTGTTTTTCTGCAAAGGGACCAGGACGACTGATCCGTGTAAAGGAAAGAATGAATGGGGCCATGTATCGTGAGATTTTGAGTGAAAACCTCCTTCCATCAGCAAGGGCATTGAAGATGAAACGTGGCTGGGTCTTTCAGCATGACAATGATCCCAAACACACCGCCCGGTCAACGAAGGAGTGGCTTCGTAAGAAGCATTTCAAGGTCCTGGAGTGGCCTAGCCAGTCTCCAGATCTCAACCCCATAGAAAATCTTTGGAGGGAGTTGAAAGTCCATGTTGCCCAGTGACAGCCCCAAAACATCACTGCTCTAGAGGAGATCTGCATGGAGGAATGGGCCAAAATACCAGCAACAGTGTGTGAAAACCTTGTGAAGACTTACAGAAAACGTTTGACCTGTGTCATTGCCAACAAAGGGTATATAACAAAGTATTGAGAAACTTTTGTTATTGACCAAATACTTATTTTCCACCATAATTTGTAAATAAATTCATTAAAAATCCTACAATGTGATTTTCTTGATTTTTTTTCCCTCATTTTGTCTGTCATAGTTGACGTGTACCTATGATGAAAATTACAGGCCTCTCTCATCTTTTTAAGTGGGAGAACTTGCACAATTGGTGGCTGACTAAATACTTTTTTCCCCCACTATATGCCTCATATTGTAGTAGTAGAAATGCCTCATATTGCAGTAGTAGATATGCCTCATAATGCAGTAGTAGAATGCCTCATATTGCAGTAGTAGAATGCCTCATATTGCATTAGTAGGATGCCTCATATTGTAGTAGTAGAATGCCTCATATTGCAGTAGTAGATATGCCTCATATTGCAGTAGTAGGATGCCTCATATTGCAGTAGTAGGATGCCTCATATTGTAGTAGTAGAATGCCTCATATTGCAGTAGTAGATATGCCTCATATTGCAGTAGTAGGATGCCTCATATTGCAGTAGTAGAATGCCTCATATTGCAGTAGTAGAATGCCTCATATTGCAGTAGTAGAATGCCTCATATTGCAGTAGTAGAATGCCTCATATTGCAGTAGTAGGATGCCTCATATTGCAGTAGTTGATATGCCTCATATTGCAGTAGTAGATATGCCTCATATTGCAGTAGTAGAATGCCTCATATTGCAGTAGTAGGATGCCTCATATTGCAGTAGTTGATATGCCTCATATTGCAGTAGTAGATATGCCTCATATTGCAGTAGTAGAATGCCTCATATTGCAGTAGTAGGATGCCTCATATTGCAGTAGTTGATATGCCTCATATTGCAGTAGTAGATATGCCTCATATTGCAGTAGTAGGATGCCTCATATTGCAGTAGTAATAGAAGGTACCAAAATTCCAGAAACTTTACACAAATTCCCAGGGTTTTCCAGAAAATTCGTTTGGAGGATTCGCAGTTGGAGGATTCCCTCCCTGCTTATTTCTACCAGAATCCCCCAACTGGGATTTCTAGAAAACCTGGGAATTTGGGGAAAGCTACCAGACATTATTTTGAAACCCTATTTGTGATAAGAAGATGGTCTGGGTTTATACCTGAGGACAGAGGCATACTGCAATAGTAGCTGGAGTGGAACGTACTGTAATCATAGTTTTATATCACTAAACTGAAATCAAGATTACTTTGGAGCAGAAACAAGTGGACTTTGCAATCGAATCATGAGTCATATTATTATTATCTATACATACAGTGCCTTCAGAAAGTATTCATACCCATTGACTTAGTCCACATTTTGTTATGTTTCAGCCTGAATTCAACATGTATTAAATTGATCTACACACAAGAGGGACTGGTCCACTACTATCATGTTAGGTTCTTTATATTGCCCCCCTGGCTCCTGCTTCAGTACGAGAGCGGTCTTTATATTGCCCCCCTGGCTCCTGCTTCAGTACGAGAGCGGTCTTTATATTGCCCCCCTGGCTCCTGCTTCAGTACGAGAGCGGTCTTTATATTGCCCCCCTGGCTCTTGCTTCAGTACGAGAGCGGTCTTTATATTGCCCCCCTGGCTCCTGCTTCAGTACGAGAGTGGTCTTTATATTGCCCCCCTGGCTCCTGCTTCAGTACGAGAGCGGTCTTTATATTGCCCCCCTGGCTCCTGCTTCAGTACGAGAGTGGTCTTTATATTGCCCCCCTGGCTCTTGCTTCAGTACGAGAGCGGTCTTTATATTGCCCCCCTGGCTCCTGCTTCAGTACGAGAGCGGTCTTTATATTGCCCCCCTGGCTCCTGCTTCAGTACGAGAGCGGTCTTTATATTGCCCCCCTGGCTCTTGCTTCAGTACGAGAGTGGTCTTTATATTGCCCCCCTGGCTCCTGCTTCAGTACGAGAGCGGTCTTTATATTGCCCCCCTGGCTCCTGCTTCAGTAGGAGAGAGATCAGGCCCTCTTTTTGTGTGTCCGACAGTTTGCCATTTATTTTTGAGTAATTAAAACATGATAGCAATGGATCTTTCAGAAGTTCATAAAAAGTTTGATATATCTCTATTGGAATACCATCGAGACCAGGGGTTTTCCCCATCTGAAATGAATCAATATAAATGGCAAACTTTTTGTCAGACATACAAAAAGAAGGGACTGATCTCTCTCCTACTGAAGCAAGAGCCAGGGGGGCAATATAAAGAACCAGACTCTTGAAAAAATGTGAGGCCCCTCACCCTTCAATGTTATGATGCACAAATATTGGCAAAATGTATTGCTCATGGAGTAAAAAAGGTCCTACCGGACATTATTCATCACGATCAGACGGGATTCTTAAAAGGAATATATATTGGAGACAACATTAGACAACTACTAGAAATAATGGAAAACTATGAGAATGCAGGGAAACCAAGTATAATCTTTATAGGAGATTTTGAGAAAACATTTCATAGAATCTGTTTATAAGTGCCTGGATTTTTTCAATTTTGGAGAATATCTCATAAGATGGGTAGAAGTCATGTCCAATAATACTTTATGTAAAATAATAAATAATGGTTACTTCTCTGAGAATTTTGAATTGTCAAGAGGCGTAAAACAAGGTTGCCCTCTGTCACCATACCTATTTATTACGGCCATTGAATTGTTGGCTTTCAAAATCAGATCTAATGATAACATTATTAAGGGGCTGAAAAGTAAGGGATTCGAGACAAAATTATCAATGTACGCCGATGATTCAAGTTTTCTCTTTGAGTCCTCAATCTTACATTTACATTTACATTTTAGTCATTTAGCAGACGCTCTTATCCAGAGCGACTTACAGTTAGTGAATACATTTTTTTTCTAATTTTTTTTTTTTTTTTATACTGGCCCCCGGTGGGAATCGAACCCACAACCCTGGCGTTGCAAACGCCATGCTCTATCAACTGAGCTACATCCCTGCCGGCCATTCCCTCCCCTACCCTGGACGACGCTGGGCCAATTGTGCGCCGCCCATGAGTCTCCCGGTCGCGGCCGGCTGCGACAGAGCCTGGATTCGAACCAGGATCTACTGGCACAGTTAGCACTGCGATGCAGTGCCTTAGACCACTGCGCCACTCATCTTCAACCTTGAAGTGCCACATTGAGGACCTGGATAATTTAACCAGTTTCTCTGGACTTAAACCCAACTATGATAAGTGATAATACGATAATACTATATTACGGATTGGGTCTCTAAAAGATACACACTTTGAATCCCGATTAAATGGGCGCATGGTGAAGTCGATGTGCTTGGTGTACATATCCCGGAAAAGTTGAGTGATCTTGCAACTGTTAACTTTGATCAAAAACAGCAAAATAGATAGAATCTTGAAACCGTTGAGAGGGAAAAACCATTTTCCATTTACGGGAAGATTACCCTGATAAATTCTCTAGTGATATCGCAGCTTACATATTTATTAATGGCTTTACCGACTTAATATTTCCCTTGATTTGGAATGGCAAACCAGATAAAGTGAAATGAGCATATTTACATAACGAACATGAGTTTGGAGGGTTAAAACTATTAAATATTGAGGCATTAAACCTCTCTCTTAAAGCCTCCTTTGTCCCAAAAAAAATTCTAAATTCAAATTGGTTTTCTAGCAACCTCCTGAGAGAGGACCATCCTATGTTTAAGAGTAGGCTCTTTGCCTTTTTGCAGATTAAAACCTTAGCTGTAAGTAGCAGTAGAAGTATTGTTGTCCGGGATGGTAGGGGGAAAAAGTATACAAAATAAATTTAAAAAATGATGGAAACAATTACATTGATAGAACCTACAATTTATCTGCAATATTACATTAAATTAAATAAAAAAATACAAAACAAAAGAACAATGAGTTCAGTCAGTAAACTTCACTGTGTGTTCATGTTTTGGTGTAATGCATCATCTGACTGTGTGTGTGTGCATGTGTGTGTGTTGTGTGTGTTTGTGTGTGTGTAGGGCACTTGTAGGGTTGGCTCAGAATCTTCCAGACAGTACGTTGGGTGACATGGTGCCTCTCATCGCGGAGGCCTTAGCCATGGGCGTCAAATGCTGCTCAGACACTCCTCCAGAGGACTGCAACAGAGATGCGGTGAGAGACACCTATCATCTCATCATCCTTATCACACCTCATCATCCTTATCACACCTCATCATCCTTATCACACCTTATCATCCTTATCACATGTTATCATCCTTATCACATCTCAACCTTATCACACATCATCATCCTTATCACATCTCAATCTTATCATACCTCATCATCCTTCATCATCCTTATCACATCTCAACCTTAGCACACCTCATCATCCTTATTACATTTACATTTTAGTCATTTAGCAGACACTCTTATCCAGAGCGACTTACAGTTAGTGAGTGCATACATTATTCATACTTATCACACCTCATCATCCTTATCACACCTCATCATACCTCATCACACCTCACCATCCTTATCACACCTCATCATACCTCCTCATCCTTATCACATCTCAACCTTATAATAATAATATGCCATTTAGCAGACGCTTTTATCCAAAGCAACTTACAGTCATGCGTGCATAATTTTTTTGTGTATGGGTTGTCCCGGGGATCGAACCCACTACCTTGGCATTACAAGTGCCGTGCTCTACCAGCTGAGCTACAGAGGACACCTATCATCTCATCATCCTTATCACACCTCAACCTTATCACACCTCAACCTTATCACATCATCATCCTTATCACACCTCAACCTTATCACATCATCATCCTTATCACACCTCAACCTTATCACATCATCATTATCCTTATCACACCTCATCATCCTTATCACATCTCATCCTTATCACACCTCATCATCCTTATCACACCTCATCATCCTTACCACACCTCAACCTTATCACATCATCATCCTTATCACACCTCAACCTCATCACATCATCATCCTTATCACACCTCAACCTTATCACATCATCATCCTTATCACACCTCAACCTTATCACATCATCATCCTTATCACACCTCAACCTTATCACATCATCATCCTTATCACACCTCAACCTCATCACATCATCATCATCATCCTTATCACACCTCATCATCCTTACCACACCTCATCATCCTTATCATACCTCATCACCCTTATCATACCTCATCATCCTTATCACACCTCATCCTTATCATACCTCATCATCCTTATCATACCTCATCATCCTTATCACATCTCATCCTTATCATACCTCATCATCCTTACCACACCTCATCATCCTTATCATACCTCATCACCCTTATCATACCTCATCATCCTTATCACACCTCATCCTTATCATACCTCATCATCCTTATCATACCTCATCATCCTTATCACATCTCATCCTTATCATACCTCATCATCCTTATCACACGCCTTTACATTTAACATTTGGCCAGCCCGGCCAGGGGTAGGGCCCAGGGGTAGGGGCCAGGGGTAGGGGCCAGGGGTAGGGGCCATAGGGTAGGGGCCAGGGGTAGGGGCCAGGGGTAGGTAGGGGCCAGAGGTAGGGGCCAGGGGTAGGGGCCATAGGTAGGGGCCAGGGGTAGGGGCCAGGGGTAGGGGCCAGGGGTAGGGGCCAGAGGTAGGGGCCAGGGTAGGGCAGGTAGGGGCCAGGGGTAGGGGCCAGGGGTAGGGGCCAGAGGTAGGGGCCAGGGGTAGGGGCCAGGGGTAGGGGCCAGGGGTAGGGGCCAGAGGTAGGGGACAGGGGTAGGGGCCAGGGGTAGGGGCCAGGGGTAGGGGCCAGGGGTAGGGGCCAGAGGTAGGGGTAGGAATAGAATTGGTTATTAGGTGACTGATGTTTCCAGACAGGGTCTGTTTCAGTTTAAACTGTTCTGATATAACAGCACCCTCTGCTGGCTAAACGGTGTACTCCTATTTGTGTTGTGTGTGTGCAGGCGGACCTGTTCCAGAGCGCGGTGTGTTCCTCTGAGACCCTGGTGGAGAAGAACAATCTAAAGCAGTGCTGTGAGAAGACTGTCGCTGAGAGGACACACTGCTTCGTGGACCACAAGGCCAAGGTAGAATGGACCACCCCTGCCTCTGAGCCAGGTTCCTATCTAGGTTTCTTCCTTCTGCTTCAGCTTGCTCTTTGGGGTGTAGACCGGGTTACTGGAAAAGCAATGTAACAACTGCTGAAGGAAAAAAGGCTTTATGGATACATTTGATTGATTGATTGATTGAGTGGTTGATTGATTGTAGATTCCTCGGGAGCTGTCCCTCACAGCTGAGCTGCCCGCTGCAGATCAGTGTGAAGACTTCAAGAAGGACCACAAGGCTTTTGTTGGGAGGTGAGTGTCTACACTCAACTTGAGACCGCACCAGCTAAAATACTGTGCTAGGCTGCTGAGCTTTAAGGAATGTTTTTTCTGGGATTTACTGTGTGTGTGTCTTTCAGGTTCATCTTCAAGTTCTCAAAGGGTCACACGATGCTGCCCCCCCATGTGGTCCTGGCTATCGCCAAGGGTTATGGAGAGGTTCTGACTACCTGCTGTGGAGAGGCTGAGGCCCAGACCTGCTTCGACACCAAGGTCAGGATGTGTCTCAGATGGCACCCTATTCCTTATATAGTGCACTACTTTTGACCAAAACCTTATGAGGGAATAGGGTGCCATTTTGGATGCAATCTCCCTCTCAATTCAATTCAATAATCTTTATTGGCATTGAAAGTTAAAGCACCTACATAGCCAAAGTAAACATTCTCTCTCTCTTTATCAGAAAGCTACTTTCCAGCACGCCGTCAAGAAGCGTGTGACTGAACTCAAGGCCCTGTGCATCGTCCACAGGAAATATGGAGACCGCGTTGTCAAGGCCAAGTAGGACATGTCAATCTAAAACTCTATGGTTCTAATTGGCTGAGAGCCAGGAGAGCCCGCCCTTGGGCCAGTCCCATTGGTTGATGTGTGTGTCTGTCTGTTCTAACAGGAAGCTGGTCCAGTACAGTCAGAAGATACCTCAGGCCTCGTTCCAGGAAATGGGAGGCATAGTAGACAAGATCGTAGAGACTGTTGCCCCCTGCTGCAGCGGAGAGATGGTCACATGCATGAAGGAGAGGGTAAACTCTTCTCTCTATTCCTACTTTTTATTGAGTTATTTCTCTTTTCGTTCCTCCTCTCTCACCTCTCGGCCTCTTTCTATTGGATGTCCTTGGGTTTGTGTCCCTGACACTTCCTGCCTGTGTGTGTGTGTACTCCCCTGACAGAAGTCCCTGATGGATGAGGTGTGTGCTAATGAGAGTGTGTTGTCTCGCGCGGCGGGTCTGGCTGCGTGCTGTAAGGAGGATGCCATGGACAGAGGGTCCTGTGTTGAGGCCATGAAGCCAGACCCTAAGCCAGACGGTCTGTCTGAGCACCACGACGTTCACGCTGATGTAGCGGCCGTCTGCCAGACCTTTACCAAGAACCCTGAAGTAGCCATGGGGAAGTATGTATTATGCACATACAGTGCATTCGGAAAGTATTCAGACCCTTTGACTTTTCCACATTTTGTTATGTTACAGCCTTATTCTAAAATTGATTAAATAGTTTTTCCCCCTCATCAATCTAAACACAATTTTTTGGTACCCTTCCCCATTTGGAAAAGCTGCTACACGCACAATTCTGACTTTGTATGGGGTGTTGCTATTGGCTAAACGACTGTGTATGGTCTGTCCCGATTGGCAGGTTGATCTATGAGATCTCGGTGCGTCACCCTGAGTCGTCTCAGCAGGTGATTCTGAGGTTCGCCAAGGATGCTGAACAGGCCTTCCTCCAGTGCTGCGACATGGAGGACCACGCAGAGTGTGTCAAAACCGCTGTATGTATTAAACCCATCTGATATTTCAACACTTTATTGTCCAAGACCCCAACACCAACCCAAGACCAATTCCCCTTTGGGGACAATAAAGTTGATCGTGTCTTATCTTATCTTCTCTTATCAGAAGGGCTACTTACACTATATATATATATATATATATATATATATATATACATATATATATATATATATACATACATATACATATATATATATATCAGATGTGTAACCTAGCTAGTTACACTATATACAGTGAGGGAAAAAAGTATTTGATCCCCTGCTGATTTTGTACGTTTGCCCACTGACAAAGACATGATCAGTCTATAATTTTAATGGTAGGTTTATTTGAACAGTGAGAGACAGAATAACAACAAAAAAATCCAGAAAAACGCATGTCAAAAATGTTATAAATTGATTTGCATTTTAATGAGGGAAATAAGTATTTGACGCCTCTGCAAAACATGACTTAGCACTTGGTGGCAAAACCCTTGTTGGCAATCACAGAGGTCAGACGTTTCTTGTAGTTGGCCACCAGGTTTGCACACATCTCAAGAGGGATTTTGTTCCACTCCTCTTTGCAGATCTTCTCCAAGTCATTAAGGTTTCGAGGCTGACGTTTGGCAACTCGAACCTTCAGCTCCCTCCACAGATTTTCTATGGGATTAAGGTCTGGAGACTGGCTAGGCCATTCCAGGACCTTAATGTGCTTCTTCTTGAGCCACTCCTTTGTTGCCTTGGCCGTGTGTTTTGGGTCATTGTCATGCTGGAATACCCATCCACGACCCATTTTCAATGCCCTGGCTGAGGGAAGGAGGTTCTCACCCAAGATTTGATGGTACGTGGCCCCGTCCATCGTCCCTTTGATGCGGTGAAGTTGTCCTGTCCCCTTAGCAGAAAAACACCCCCAAAGCATAATGTTTCCACCTCCATGTTTGACGGTGGGGATGGTGTTCTTGGGGTCATAGGCAGCATTCCTCCTCCTCCAAACACGGCGAGTTGAGTTGATGCCAAAGAGCTCCATTTTGGTCTCATCTGACCACAACACTTTCACCCAGTTCTCCTCTGAATCATTCAGATGTTCATTGGCAAACTTCAGACGGCCCTGTATATGTGCTTTCTTGAGCAGGGGGACCTTGCGGGCACTGCAGGATTTCAGTCCTTCACGGCGTAGTGTGTTACCAATTGTTTTCTTGGTGACTATGGTCCCAGCTGCATTGAGATCATTGACAAGATCCTCCCGTGTAGTTCTGGGCTGATTCCTCACCGTTCTCATGATCATTGCAACTCCACGAGGTGAGGTCTTGCATGGAGCCCCAAGCCGAGGGAGATTGATAGTTATTTTGTGTTTCTTCCATTTGCAAATAATCGCACCAACTGTTGTCACCTTCTCACCAAGCTGCTTGGCGATGGTCTTGTAGCCCATTCCAGCCTTGTGTAGGTCTACAATCTTGTCTCTGACATCCTTGGAGAGCTCTTTGGTCTTGGCCATGGTGGAGAGTTTGGAATCTGATTGATTGATTGCTTCTGTGGACAGGTGTCTTTTATACAGGTAACAAACTGAGATTAGGAGCACTCCCTTTAAGAGTGTGCTCCTAATCTCAGCTCGTTACCTGTATAAAAGACACCTGGGAGCCAGAAATCTTTCTGATTGTGAGGGGGTCAAATACTTATTTCCCTCATTAAAATGCAAATCAATTTATAACATTTTTGACATGCGTTTTTCTGGATTTTTTTGTGGTTATTCTGTCTCTCACTGTTCAAATAAACCTACCAATAAAATGATAGACTGATCATTTCTTTGTCAGTGGGCAAACGTACAAAATCAGCAGGGGATCAAATACTTTTTTCCCTCACTATATATATATATATATATATCAGATGTGTAACCTAACTAGTTACACTATATATCAGTCTGTGATTATTGCCTTGATCTGAATACTTGCGTTAGCTCCCCTGAGCTAATAGTTGATGGTTATTGGCTTTAACTCAGCAGGCTAGCACTGTATTCATAGTATTTCTAGACCATAATAATGGCATCTGCCACTTCTTGTGACATCATGCCAATTGTATGAATGGTTCTAACCCCAGCTGGCAGGCAGTGATGTTGATAAGATGATCACTGATGAGACTGACTACTACAAGAAGATGTGTGCTGTTGAGGCTGAAATGGGCGATGACAACTTTGAGAAGAGGTGAGGGGTCACGCTTTAACACAGATATTAAAGGTAATCAAAGGTCAAAGTAGATGTCCTTCGTGTAGTATGGGATCATAAACATCACATTTAGGCCTAACAACTTACCGACAGATGTTTTTATGGGTGAATTGATCATTAATTTATGGCTTATGAATAATTTATTAATGGTTAATTCATATTTAATAATGACTATTTAATGGCTGATTAACAATTAACTCCTCCTCTTCCTCCACCTCCTCCTCCACCTCCTCCACCTCCACCTCCTCCTCCTCCTCCTCCTCCTCCTCCAGTATGATGGTGTACTACACCAGGATAATGCCCCAGGCCTCCTTCGACCAGCTCCACATGGTGTCTGAGACAGTGCATGATGTCCTCCATGGCTGCTGTAAGGACGAGCCAGGCCACTTCGTCCTGCCCTGCGCAGAGGAGAAGGTCTGACACACGCACGCACGCACGCACACACACACACACACACACACACATACACGCACACACGCACACACACACACACACGCACGCACGCACGCACGCACGCACACGCACACGCACACACACGCACGAACACACAAATGCACGCAAGCACACACACATGTAAGCACACACAAATGCACGCAAGCACACACACACGTAAGCACACACAAATGCACGCAAGCACACACACAAATGTAAACACACACAAATGCACGCAAGCACACACACACACGAACACACACAAACACACACAAAGGTCTGACACTCACACACACACACCTCTTCCCTACCTTTCCCTCCACTAACCCCTCCCTCCACATCTCCCTAGACATGTCACATCCTCTCATATTAAATCACTCTACTCTTCCCAGTGTTGACCCCTCCCCTTTCTGTCTCGGTCCCTGTCACCACAGCTGACTGTGCTCTACTCTACTCTGCTCTAATCTACTCTGCTCTGCTCTGCTCTACTCTACTCTACTCTACTCTACTCTACTCTACTCTGCTCTGCTCTACTCTACTCTACTCTACTCTACTCTACTCTACTCTGCTCTACTCTACTCTACTCTACTCTGCTCTACTCTACTCTACTCTACTCTACTCTGCTCTACTCTACTCTGCTCTGCTCTGCTCTGCTCTGCTCTGCTCTACTCTACTCTACTCTACTCTACTCTACTCTACTCTGCTCTGCTCTACTCTACTCTACTCTACTCTACTCTACTCTACTCTACTCTACTCTACTCTGCTCTACTCTGCTCTACTCTACTCTACTCTACTCTACTCTACTCTACTCTACTCTGCTCTGCTCTACTCTACTCTACTCTACTCTACTCTACTCTACTCTACTCTACTCTGCTCTACTCTACTCTCCTCTACCCCTTGACATCTTCCTCCCTGTGTCCTCTCCACAGCTGACCAACGCCATCGACGCCACATGTAACGACTACGACCCCTCCAGCATTAACCCCCGCATCGCCCACTGCTGCAACCAGTCCTACTCCATGAGGAGATCCTGCATCCTGGCCATTCAGCCTGACACAGAGTTCACGCCCCCGGAGCTCGATGCCAACAACTTCCACATGTGCCCCGAGCTCTGCACCAAGAACAGCAAGGAGCTGCTGCTCGCTGGGAAGAAGTGAGTAAAATGTATTACCAACGCACTGTGAACACATGGGCACGAATTCACACACACGTAGGCATGAAACTAACACACACACACACACACACACGAGCACGAACACACACATACACACACTCCAACTCGTAAAAAATTAACTGTGTGTGTGTGTGTGTCCTCAGGCTGCTGTATGGTCTGGTCAGACATAAGACCACCATCACTGAGGAGCAGCTGAAGACCATCTCTACTAACTATTACACCCTGAAGGAGAAGTGCTGTGCTGCTGAGGACAAAGCAGCCTGCTTCACTGAGGAGGTAACCTACACTGCTCAACACTGATCAAATGTTCAAACCTTTTTCTTTCCACCATATTACCTCAGCCTGTTTCGTTCAGAGACCTTTTTTCACTTCCAATCATTTTTCTTTCACTTTGAGTGTTTAATAAGAGGTGGTGTAGAACGGTAAAGGGAAAACATTGATTGATTCTAACGACGGATCCCTTTGTTCTCCTACAGGCACCCAAGCTGGTTTCTGAGAGTGCAGAGCTGCTCAAGGTTTAAGATATGATTTTGATGATTTTAATTTCAAAAGATGTCTACAGTTACACCATGGTGACCTCATCACCTCATCCTCCTATCCACAACGTCTGTCATCCACTCATAAGCCTGTCTATCAGTGATCTGTGATTAACTCATAAGTCTTACAGCCTATCCTCATCAAACCTCTATCTGTGATGAATCACACCACTGGTTTATTTATGACAGACAAATAATGACTCCTGTCAAATCAAATAAATTAATAAATTCATGTTTAATAACTGGACTACTGCTGTGGCTATTGTATTTTTATGTGGTGGGATTCTCAAGACTTGCTTTAGTTTCATTATGGCTATCTCACAATTTTAACCCATGAGTTTTCTTAGAACTGTTTGTTAATTATGAATGTGTCTTTGCATTTTTAATTAACAATTGATGAACTAAGTATAAACCCTTTATGAAGGCAACGTTAATGTAAAGAGTTACACATTAGCTTTCTCTCTCTCTCCATGCCTCCCTGGATAGTTGATTGCAGCCACTGTGTCTTGTCACCCCCGTATGGTCTACAGAAGACATGACATAAAGCAACATTCTGGTATATGTACGGTGCATTAGAGTGGTGTAAATATACATCTCGTTGAGAAAGAAACCTGAGCTTCTGAACTGTGTGATATAAAAATGACATGGTGCAAGTATGCACATTTTAATAAAGTGAAAATAAAAAACATGAATGAAGATAATAAGCCTTTTAAATACATAGTTTGCGACCCAAATGGCACCCTATTCCCTATATAGAGCACTACTTTTCCCAAGGCTCATAGGGCTCTGGTCAAAAGAATAGTGCACTATGTAGGGAACAAGGTGCCATTTGGGACGCATTCAGATTTCATTGAACTGATTGGAATGCCTTCATCTGTTTCAGCATCTAACTTTGTTGGTTGTGTAACGTATGTGCTTGTTGTGTTGTTAAATGTGGCTGGGGACATGAGACTTTCATTCTGTAGCGGTGCCCTTACTGCCCTTGTTGCCTAGAGGTTGCCAGAAACGGTTCACTTGGCACTAGGTGAAGCTACACACACACACACACACACACACACACACACACACACACACACACACACACACACACACACACACACACAACACACACAACACACAACACACAACACACAACACACAACACACAACACACAACACACACACACACACACAACTGTGTGGTGGGGCGGCAGGCAGGTAGCTTAGTGGGTAAGAGCGTTGTGCCAGTAACCGAAAGGTCGCTGGTTCTAATCCCTGAGCCGACTAGGTGAAAAATCTGTCGATGTGCCCTTGAGCAAGGCACTTAACCCTAATTGCTCCTGTAAGTCGCTCTGGATAAGAGCGTCTGCTAAATGACTAAAATGTGAGGTCAGTGACTGGATAGGCACAGGCTATTATCAAAGCCAGATTTACTCCCTTTACTCAATAAACCTTGATGAATCCCATGTTCAACATACAACAGATAACTCCAACAACCAGGGTGACTTAGGCCAGTGTTTCCCAACTCCAGTCCTCCAGTACCTTAACAGCGTACCTTTTCTGTTGTAGCCCCGGACAAGCACACCTGATTCAACCTGTCAACTAATCATCAGGCCCTCAATGAGTTGGATCAGGTGATTTTGTCTGGGGCTACAACAAAAATGTGTGCTGTTCGGAGTACTGGAGGACCGAAGTTGAGAAACACTGAAATTGACAAACAATTTTCACCAAATGTAAATACCATTGTAGCCAAGATACACAAGGGATAGGCTCAGATGACTGTCAGACAAAAAGCCACACTGCTGAACTGAGCTCAGCCATAGACCGATGTAGCATCCACAGTTACAACTGATAGCTGGCACTAAAATACCAATGTATGGACACATTTCATCCGAATAGTTTACAACGCAAACTCCATAGCCTTTCACAATGGATTTACAATTCTTCCAATGCATCGAGCAAACACACACACGTAATAATATTATGTGAAATATTATTACACACACATATATAATAAGTAAGGTTCTAACAAAATGTCCATATCAACAATCGAAATGAATGAAAAATGCAGTTCAAAACGTAAAAAAAAGTGTCTAATCAAAAGGAAATTCTAGTTTGATAAATCAAATGCATTCAAAGGTATGTTGACCTGCAAATTGCAAAGGAAAATGGATTTAGGCCCACCTTTACTTGTTGTAAATGGAGTCCATTTGTCTGTCCTTCGGGGTGAACTTCTCGGCGACTGCGTTGTAAAAGTCACAGCAGAAAACCCATGTCCATTATTTTATTCTGCACACAGCTGGGAGATGCATCCACAAGGCCTCCTTTGGTTCCATTTTCACACGGACACAACAATGTCACACACACACACACACACACAGTAACTGGTAGCACAGTTCTCCCACCCAGCACACAGGTAGGCAGCTCCATCCTTTGGGCATCCAGCCGGTCAGAGCAGAATACTCCTGCATGAGTGCGTCCCCCCATGCAGCCACATACAGTGGGGAAAAAAAGTATTTAGTCAGCCACCAATTGTGCAAGTTCTCCCACTTAAAAAGATGAGAGAGGCCTGTAATTTTCATCATAGGTACACGTCAACTATGACAGACAAAATGAGAAAAAAAAATCCAGAAAATCACATTGTAGGATTTTTTATGAATTTATTTGCAAATTATGGTGGAAAATAAGTATTTGGTCAATAACAAAAGTTTCTCAATACTTTGTTATATACCCTTTGTTGGCAATGACACAGGTCAAACGTTTTCTGTAACTCTTCACAAGGTTTTCACACACTGTTGCTGGTATTTTGGCCCATTCTTTCATGCAGATCTCCTCTAGAGCAGTGATGTTTTGGGGCTGTCGCTGGGCAACACGGACTTTCAACTCCCTCCAAAGATTTTCTATGGGGTTGAGATCTGGAGACTGGCTAGGCCACTCCAGGACCTTGAAATGCTTCTTACGAAGCCACTCCTTCGTTGCCCAGGCGGTGTATTTGGGATCATTGTCATGCTGAAAGACCCAGCCACGTTTCATCATCAATGCCCTTGCTGATGGAAGGAGGTTTTCACTCAAAATCTCACAAAACATGGCCCCATTCATTCTTTCCTTTACACGGATCAGTCGTCCTGGTCCCTTTGCAGAAAAACAGCCCCAAAGCATGATGTTTCCACCCCCATGCTTCACAGTAGGTATGGTGTTCTTTGGATGGAACTCAGCATTCTTTGTCCTCCAAACACGACGAGTTGAGTTTTTACCAAAAAGTTATATTTTGGTTTCATCTGACCATATGACATTCTCCCAATCCTCTTCTGGATCATCCAAATGCACTCTAGCAAACTTCAGACGGGCCTGGACATGTACTGGCTTAAGCAGGGGGACACGTCTGCCACTGCAGGATTTGAGTCCCTGGCGGCGTAGTGTGTTACTGATGGTAGGCTTTGTTACTTTGGTCCCAGCTCTCTGCCGGTCATTCACTAGGTCCCCCCGTGTGGTTCTGGGATTTTCGCTCACCGTTCTTGTGATCATTTTGACCCCACGGGGTGAGATCTTGCGTGGAGCCCCAGATCGAGGGAGATTATCAGTGGTCTTGTATGTCTTCCATTTCCTAATAATTGCTCCCACAGTTGATTTCTTCAAACCAAGCTGCTTACCTATTGCAGATTCAGTCTTCCCAGCCTGGTGCAGGTCTACAATTCTGTTTCTGGTGTCCTTTGACAGCTCTTTGGTCTTGGCCATAGTGGAGTTTGGAGTGTGACTGTTTGAGGTTGTGGACAGGTGTCTTTTATACTGATAACAAGTTCAAACAGGTGCCATTAATACAGGTAACGAGTGGAGGACAGAGGAGCCTCTTAAATAAGAAGTTACAGGTCTGTGAGAGCCAGAAATCTTGCTTGTTTGTAGGTGACCAAATACTTATTTTCCACCATAATTTGCAAATAAATTCATTAAAAATCATACAATGTGATTTTCTGGATTTTTTTTTCTCAATTTGTCTGTCATAGTTGACGTGTACCTATGATGAAAATTACAGGCCTCTCTCATCTTTTTAAGTGGGAGAACTTGCACAATTGGTGGCTGACTAAATACTTTTTTTCCCCACTGTAGGTAGAATGGTTGTAGTGTAGTTAGTGGCATCCATCTTGTAGAAGCCAAGGCTCGGGCCGCATTGAGTTGCGGGAGAAGCCCCGTTCCCACTGTCCACGTGGCAAAAGTAAACGCAAGTCAAGACTTAAGATGGCAATATTGCAGCTGCCAGGTTCTGTGGGGGGCTTGGATCTGCCCAATATTTAGTTTTTATCAGTGGGTGTGTGTCACGATCGTCAAACAGAGATGAGGACCAAGGCGCAGCGTTGCAGGCAAACATACTCTTTAATTAGAGACACGATCAAAAACAACAAACGATACGTGACAGTTCACGGTCTAACATAAACAGACTTGAAACAAGATCCCACAAACACAAATGGGAAACAGACAGTTTAAATATGGCTCCCAATCAGAGACAACCAACGACAGCTGACACTCGTTGCCTCTGATTGGGAGCCACTCAGGCCAACATAGAAATACACCTACTAGATAACCAAATGAAATGCACACCCTGGCTCAACATACAAGTGTCCCCAGAGCCAGGGCGTGACAGTACCCCCCCCCTAAAGGCGCGGACTCCGACCGCGCCCACCAAACACCACAGGGGAGGGACCGGGTGGGCACTCCGCTTAGGCGGCGGATCCGGCTCCGGGCCTGATCCCCGCTCCCTCTCCAACCCCCCAAAGTACCCCTGGTCCGGTCTGGCCCCCGCTGGCCGGAACTGGACTGCACACTGGTGGAGCGGATTGCTCTAGCTCCGGCGTGAAGCATCTGACCGGTGCCGGACCAGCCACCGGTGGAACAGGCACGGGCCGTGCCGGACTGACGACGCACACCACTGGCTTGGTGTGGGGAGCAGGAGCGGGCCGCGCCGGGCTGACGAAACGCACCACTGACTTGGTGCGGGGGAGCAGGAGCGGGCCGGACCGGGCTGACGAAGCGCACCACTGACTTGGTGCGGGGAGCAGGAACGGGCCGTGCCGGGCTGACGAAGCGCACCACTAACTTGGTGCGGGGAGCAGGAACGGGCCGGACCGGGCTGACGACGCGCACCACTGACTTGGTGCGGGGAGCAGGAACGGGCCGCGCCGGGCTGACGAAACGCACCACTGACTTGGTGCGGGGAGCAGGAACGGGCCGCGCCGGGCTGACGAAACGCACCACTGACTTGGTGCGGGGAGC